CACTCAAAGTCTCCGACGAGTTGAGTTATGTGTTGAGTCGTCTGCGTGGAACTTCCGTGAACGGTGATCACTGGAGGATGCTTGAGTGATGCATCCGGTCGATCGCTTCATTCGGAAAGAGTCAAATCATCCCACACTCATCAATTTAAGCGCCTGAAGTTTTAGATGTCGGTGCTGTTCGCCGGTAGAGGTACGCCTGCCGAATGCGGAAGGGGCAGAGGCTGTCAAATCCCATTCTCGAAGTACTCACCTCCCGCCACCACCACACACACCCACACGCCAATGCGTGACCCAACACGATACCCCGAGCCCGACGGCTCACCACGAAGATATTTCTCACAGCACGCCATGCGCGATGAATCTGCCGCTGATGCGGCAAGTCTAACCGCCGTCTCTCGCATGAACCCATTTGCTGCACTCGCAGCATGCTTTCCAAGATCGATCGAAGACAATATCACGACTGAAGCGAAGATCACAGAGACAATTGATCGAGAAACGCAACACGGCCCATCATTCAGCGAATAGAGACGTACGCTTGAGAGTCGACATGTAATCGCTCTCGGAGAGCAGGAGCGTCAGCTCCGACGCGAATGCGATAGCGCTCTTCAGATTCAGAAGCAGCAGATAGACATCGAACGTGACAACGCCCTTCAGGAGCAGAAGCAGGAGCTTGAGAGCGAAAGAGACATCGCCCTCCAGGAGCAGAAAGCCCAGCTTGAGCAGAAGCTGGAAGAGGAACTAGACTTTGCTGGGAAATCCTCATGCGGGAGACAGAAGGTAACGACTTCACCCTGCAGCAGTTGCTGAATTAGATCACAAAGGCTAGCCAGTACTTTGGCTTCGAGCTGTCAGAAGACATCGATCCCATCTGCAAGATAGAGCAGTTCGCTCTCCTAGCAAGGCTCAACACCTCCAGGATGTGTCAAGCAGCGTTTAATAAGTTGTTGCATCGTCTCAACGTTCCCCTGGAAAGGTGGCCTTCAGTTTCGGAGCTCCTTAACCAAGAGCATACCAATAAATATATAGCAGTCCTCACTAGCTAGGTGGACAGAATAGTCCAAGCCTGCGAGGATAGAGTCGACACAGAACAGTGCTGCACTACCGATGTCCAACGCGCTTCACTCATCTCAAAGTTAAAGGTCATAGACCAGGTCAGTAGGACCATCGGAGACCTGAGAGAGCAGATAGCAGCGAACGACAAGTTATGGGCCGAGGTGGTCTCAAGATCAGAGGCGTGCTTGGCCGCGAAAGATCAACACATCGATGCCCTAACAGAGCGTCTCAGATTGCAGACGCAGATGCTAGATGAGAGACACGTCCTACTAGTGCAGATGGCAGATGCAGCTGCAGCATCAGTAGGGTAGAGTCAAGATGTCTTGCTGATATACTTGTGTGCGAAGACCCGATATGTAGCTGAATTTGATCAACATCAACGTCATGGCATCCTCGCCCTTATCCTTCACGTCTTCATGAATACGTCTCTTGATACGCAAACTGACGTAGTTGCATTTCAAATCCCACCTCAGCCAACTCAAACACTCTTCTCGTTTCGACTGGGGCTTTGCAGTCCATCAGCTCGTACAATCTACCACTTAACCCAACAGCCTTCACCATCTCCAGTCCTTCTTCTCCAGGCGCTGGATATAGCCTTTGCCCAAAGCTAAGATGGCACCATCGTGTGCTGGGACGTCCACGTGGAGCGTCTGCAGTGATGTTGGAACTAGACCGAGAATAGAAGGCCTGTATTCATCGCCCTTCAGCCAGATGAAACCCTGCCAGCTTAGATCCTGTTCCGGAGGCACGCTCACACCCAGTGCAGCATGGTCGAACCACATAGCTGCTGGCACGCGAATATATGCGAGGCTGCTGAGGCTAGAGAAGTCAGCTCTTGAGCGCTGTTCTCGTCTCAGCCCCGGCCATGTCTCTCTGACGTGAAGATGCGTCAACTTTGCGCAACGGGCGTAGTGCGCGGAGCGATATATTCTGTACATGAAACTTGTAGTCATTCGATGAACATGATGTTTTATAGAAAAGCTCTCTAGCACGAGCGCGCATAGTTCAGATGAGTCCTACTACGGCTCTTTGGTATGACATATCCATGACAGATGATTTTCAGTTTGCACAGAGCCTTTAGGCGATTGGCTCGTGTTCTTCCTTCGGTGGATTCTTGTGAACGTGAACTTTGCGCACAACCGAGTTTGTGATCTGTTAAGCTGTTAGCACGAGTAATAAGACGTCTTAAAACTGCGTTAGCAAAGTATAGCAAGGGGGCTACATACTAGTAATAAGTTAGCAAGATATCTTGACAGTTATTCGTGGCGGTTACTTTACCCTTGCGACCATCCTTCTCCGTAACCTGTTTATCCTCATACACCAGCACAAAGTCGGTACACCTCTTCACCGGAAGATCGAAGATTCCCCATTGCTCCAGTAAGTCCAGGACCGGCTGGGAGTCGGTGGTAGTCTGGCAGATTGGTTCCTTGTAGAGTATCTTGAAGGTGACATGGCAGCCCGTCTTATTGACTGTGCATGTGACCGTCAGTTTGTCCTCTCGTACAGCCTGGACCCAGCTTTCGTTCGAGTTATGGATGAACTTTTGTATGGTGCGGGTATATCTCATCTGCTTATTCTTGAAAGTCCTCCACTCGCTGCGGCACCAGTCGTAATCTGGACATTCGCAATCATCATCGCCATATACACTTGAGTACCCAAGCTCTTCCATCTCCATATTCTTGAAGCAGTTATGGCACATATCATCTTCCACGGTGTATCCACTTGTGGCAAGCATGTGCGGAACGAATGCTACCTTTGATGAGGTAGATTGCACATACAGGTGTAGCAGAGGCATCATGTCGAAGGTTGATCTGCCATCGTTACGGTGGTCCCACGAGAACTGCACCAAACCCGGTACTAGCTTGTCTACACCTTCATTATGCAGAAACGCGTTGCCGAAATGGGTCCACTCGGATGTTGTCGCGAATCTAACACGGAGATGCTGGATCCAAAGAGGACGATACTCTGCGCGAATTTGTGTGCATACCTGGGTCAATGCAAAGAACTTCCAGGGACGCTCCGAGTGAGACTTGCGAAGCGAGTTTGGGAGGATAGGCCTGGGCCGTAAGGCATAATTCCTTGAGTCATCTTCGTTGGCGTAATCGTATACCCTGTTTCGTAGCTCTTTGCAGCATTAGCGTCTGGCAATGTTAGAGACGAGGAAGACATACCGGGAGAAAGATCGAGGAAACGAAAGTACTGAGGAGTCTTGGTTGCGGGCTCCTCACTCTTCGCAGGCTTTGCAGCCATCTTGACAGATTGCTTCGCTTTCTTGGTCACTTTGGTGTCTACAGCTTCGCCGCTTGCGCGCTTGCTGCCGGATCGTCTGAAGTGAGGTTAGTTGATGATCACGGGAGTGCGCGATGAGTAAGAAGTGACTTACGTAGTGGGCGCCATCAGTCGTCTTGAAGCCAGTGGCGGTGCTTACAACGTGGTAGAGTTGGTGTTTCAGTAAGCTGAGCAGTAGAAGGTGAGTGTAAACAAGTAGAGAAGGCAAGAGCACCCGCCAAGAGCCGCTAGTGGAATGACGCAGGCACGCAGTGACATGTTCCACAACAGTCCGCCTAGGTGAGACATAGGCAAGGGCACGTGAACCTTCCACCTTGGTTCTTCCAGACCGTCGCATGAGACAGAAGTGAATCGCGCTCTGCTTGCCCAATATGCGCTTGCAACAGCTCGCTCTCGTCCGCTCGACAAGCATGCCTGCGAAGGCCAGCTACTCAACACCCTTGCATGATATTTCTCCATAGAAGGGAAAGATCACGACTTGCAAGGCTGTGTTTAATGCAATGCCAAGAGTGTAGACCTTACCCTCGCAAAGGTGATAGACTGCCTGTCCACACGTGGATGGACATATCGCGAAGACCAGATGAACTCACCTTCCCTACGCCACGCTATCAGCTGTTTGGAAGTTGAAGGTTCTTGCGCTGAAAGACTTGGACGGTCTTTCTCCATAGTGTGGGTCATCTCAAGTTCCTTCCTTCCAATAAGAGTGGAGTCATCATATTCGCAGCGCGCACGCAAGCGCGCTTCTACACCTCTACTCTCGGGCACATCTTTGCGTAGCTCTATCGCAACCACAAACACCTGGGCATCAATTACATTTTTGTCATAGCAATTCAAGGCCACTATACAAGCATCCATTATCCGGCGGATGTCCTCTCGGTAACACGAGCTGCTTCCGCCGCATGGACTATTACCAATGCCCAACAGAGAACCTTCTCATAGAAGCACAGCGCCGCGGTTTCCCAAGACTTTGGATCTCTCGGGACCAGCTCAGCGAGGTCCTCATGCAAGATGACGAGGCAAAAGGATCGGATGCGACAACCGTTTCTACCACGGACTATGGCGCTTTCATACCGCGGACTGTCAGTCTGGAACACACAGCGGCATTGGACAAAACCGATTTAGCTAGTCAATTGATCAACGAGAGCGCGTCTACCGAATGCGTAGTGCGAAAGGATGGCAGAGCTGACTATTCCCAGAGATTATTTACTGGACGTTGAACACGTTCTTTCCCGCAATACAGCTCTTCTTCGAGTCGGGCTCGTCGTGTACCATCGACTGCGGGAGGTTCCCGGACGCAATCGTTGGGCTGGATCCCGCACTCCGATTCAGATTGACGGATTGTGCATACGAAGAAGAAGGTCGCGTGGTTAACAGCATACTGCCTCGACGTTTTGTACATTCCGGTACCGGTCTCGTTATACAAGAAGCAGTAATGGCCCATCGCACGAGTATTGCAATCCGGAATTTTTCGGATCCACAGAAAACCCAGCTATGGCGACCAGGCGTTGTTGTCCAGCCCAAGATTACAAAAGAGCTGCACACAGTCGTTGGGCTCAGGCTGAGGGGAATGGACAAAACAGCGTACATATGGGCGAAGGCTGCGGTGCCTACCGGAGGAAGGGTGTGGGGAAACGTGAGGTCATCTGGCCTGCAAGACGATGTGCCTGTCCCCATACTCCCTTCTGTAGAGGAGGAGCCCGGCGCTCAAACAGTCGTGGTTATTAAGGACAGCCTGATCGAGCGCAATCGCCAGGGCAATAGGGAGATGGGGACCTTCGAGGCCATTACACCAGAAGATTCTTCGTAATTGTACCGGAGTTATACGTTACGACACAGCTGGCGGTGGACGCGACGATGTCGAATTAAGTGTCTGGTAGTAGATTAGCTTGGCAAGTAGCCATCTATCTTCAAGGTCCCTTCCGACGCATGTGAGGATATCCACTCGGGAAGATCCGGCCAAACTCCAGTAACGTGTGTCTGGAGCTGGATCGTGGTCGAAAGATAGCAGCATGCTGACAAAAGTCGACGTTATATATCCTAAGCCCGATCGGACTGGGATTGCGAGTAATCTCGGGCGGGTGTGCAAAACAGCAGGACCGAAGCGGATGTAAGGATCTTGAAGTGGGGTACTGAGTCGATCCCAGGCGCGGGCGCAGCTATAAAGACACTAATTCCCACGTCAGTGCTGTTCAGCACCGCGCATCGCATCTACAACAGTCAGTACATCTTGCAAGTTGCTGTTGGTTTTTACTCACAGCGTACAGAACTCTCCGATACCATCCACCTATACATCATCATGTCTGGCGCCACCGCTATCGTCCTTTACCCTCGCAAGGAGGGCTCCACCTTTAACAAGGAGTACTACCTCAAGACACACATGCCGCTCGCCATGAAGAACTGGAAAGACCACGGTCTCAAGTCCTACGCCGTCAGTGAGCTCAACGCCGACGGTCCATACGCCATCAGCACCGTCATGGAGTTTGACAGCCTTGAGAGTGTCGGAAAGGCTTTGCAGAGTGAGGGCACCAAGGAGGTCATGGAGGACGTAAAGAACTTCAGCAGCGAGACACCGATCCTCGTTCACGGCAATGTCGTCGGACGGAGTTAGGCTTGGAACCAAATGGAAACAAGGTTGGCCGAGGGTCGTGAGCGATGGATACTATGACGAGCCTCATGCAGGGTTTGGTGTGGAGACGGAGGTAGGATGGGGTTAGCGGCGTGAAAGCTGCATGGAGGGGTAGCTGCCTCGTTTGGGATGCCCCGCACTTCGTCTTCCCGAGGTATCTTGCATTCATCATCACTGCGATCCCAAGCATTCGAAGAATCAAAACATTGGAATCGAATTCTGAACTCTAGCGAGCGTTGTTATGTGTTCGATAAGGCCTGTCGTTTCGAGTTTGCCATGAGAAGACTTGTCACTCAAGCAGCCTCTGACCGTGTCCAGTTATTGCTTGCTACTGGATCGCTTCGGTATGCATAGAGCTGAGCATTTCAGCCTTGTCAGCATGAGTCCTGAGACACAGCCTCCTCCCCTCTACCAGGTGTAGCGACGCTCCAGGCAGCCATCTATGTAATATCTCTAAAGCCATCTCACCCCTTATTCTTCAACTCCCAGCACTCTCAAACTGCAAAGTCGCGCTGTGAACCACGAAGAGCTCATCGAGTTCTCCCGTCGTTCGGAAACTAGGACCGATGGGCGACCTCTATGCATCGTGCCCTGTGGATCGCACAAGCCAAGAGATCAGGCTACTCAGGCTCCTACCCAAAAATGACGAAGGCATCATTGAATGCACCATGCAGACTTACAATCACGACGACCGGCCATCTTACCAAGCCTTGTCATACACCTGGGGTCCCAACATAGCGTACAATGACATCGAAATCAACGGCGTCAAGATCCCAGTCCGAGAGAATCTATGGAGCTTCCTACATCAGCAGCAACTTCATGGCAATCATGGGCCATTCTGGATCGATGCTCTCTGTATACAACAGTCAAATGTTGATGAACGTAATCATCAAGTGCAGATGATGGGACCCATATATAAGGGGGCTGAGAAGGCTCTGGTCTGGCTGGGCGAAGAGAAGGACGACAGCGATCTTGCCTTGCGCTTTTTGAAGTGCACCTGGAATCCTATGCTGTACAACGATGTTTTTGGCCACAGTACCGACATAGCCCGCAGCATATTATCGTTTTGCAAGAGAACATATTGGTCCCGTATGTGGATCGTTCAAGAGATCATGCTTGCTTGCCACATAGAGATTCATTGTGGTCCTGGCATGTTAGAGTGGCTCAAGCTCTCCGAGTTGTACAGCCATCTAGACGCTCGCTCCACACAAGCTGGGCTCACCGACCAAAACGACGTGGACACGCCTTTGTACCACTTTATACTTGGCAGTTCGGCCATCTCAATTGCTGCAATGAAAAGATACGCCGATCTGGAGAGGAACAGCCGAGCTACCTTTTCAAGCCTACTTGAAACGTACCGTGATCACGAATGTGAGGACATTCGAGACAAGGTGTATGCTCTTGTGGGAGTCGAAAGATATGGTTCCCTAGAAGTAGATTATCACAAGTCTGTAGAAGAAACGCTTCTCGACACTCTCTATTACGAAAGTAGTCGGTTATGTTGGGAAAGGAATTTCACAGGATTAGATCCTTCGGATAGAGATACGATCTGGGATTTCGGGCTTCTGTTGAAAAAGGTTTTGGCTGTTGAGCTGCCTGAAGACGAGCTGCTGTTCCATGTCAAACGAAGCGAGTACGTAGCATGGACCACATACTGTGACTTGATGGACAAGGACAAGATGCAGAATAACATATCATCTGCCGAATTCTTTGCGGCAGTCGCCTTAGCACGGTGAAATGATTCACACACAGCAAGTAATCAAACAATCAAACGCGCTTTCATTCATCAAGAACTCGATTAATACCTCCATGCTATACTGAGCGAGCCTGCAATCCAATCCAAAGCTCCCACCCTCAATGCTTAGTATTATGTACGAGAAGATGCAGACGTGAAATATATACAGTGAACATCGGCATCTCGTCTCATACTCTTCAATCCAATTGTAATCGATCCCGAATGACCTCAACACTCTCTAAACGAATAGCCCATCTATCTAACGGCGGTACTGGCCCTGATGCTGTTGCTGCGCGTACTTTGCTGCCTGTTGCGCCTGGTCGAAGCTTGCGCCGTAAGCCTGCGTGGGCGGAGTCTGCTGTTGTTGCTGCGCCATGTTGCCGTAGCCTTGCGGTGACGGCTGTGGGAAATACTGGCTCTGCGGTGTTTGCGCTGGGGAGACCCAACCTCCAGGGATGTTCATCTGTGGGGTTGGCGCCTGCTGGGGGAAGTACTGCTGCTGCTGCTGCTGATACATGGGGTGCATCTGGCTCGGTGTGGAGTATGCCATTCCGACGATACCTGACGGTGTACCAGGCCCGGTAGGCATGCCCATGACACTAGGGGTACCCATCATGCTCGGTGCGCCCATTACACTCGGAGCACCCATGCCGGTTGGCGTGCCCATGCCCATAACACTGGGAGTACCCATCATGCTCGGCGCATAGTTGCTCTGAGCCATCGCATATTGTTGCTGCATCTGCTGTTGCATCATCATCTGCTGGCGTTGCTGGACCTCCATCATTTGGCGCTGTTGGGTCTGCAAGGTGCGTCGGTCGATCTCAGCTTGCATAGTCGGTGTAAAACTCTGGCGATTGGCCTTGTGAGCCGCCTTCTCCTTCTCGCGATAATCGATGTAACCTGTAAGACCTGTCGGAGGCTCCTTTTGCACTTTCTTGGTGTTCTGCGAAAGGTCCAGAAGAGGAGTGTTTGTCATGCGAGCCACCTGTTCCTGCTCGCGAGCAGACAAAGTAGTAGGTTGTTGATTAAGCAGTGTCTCAGCACCGCGGCTTAGAGGGCGACTGGGTGGACGAGCAGGACCTGGAGAACCCTGAGGCGACCGCTGAATATGACTCCAATCTCCAGAGTGCGTACGAGTCCAATCTCCGGAATGCGTGCGACCGAAAGGAGGTGGGGTGTGTGATTTGCTCCTGCCATGTCCATACATTATAGGCTGCTGCTGATGCGCCGCACGATGCATCACCCAGTCTTCAGGATCCAGCCTTGTCCTGTCCGGCTGCTGTGGTGAGGCTGCAGCCGGTTGCCATGCGACTTGTCGTGAATCCGAGATCTGCGGAGAGTTCGAACCACTGCGCGCATGCATGGGTTGGTTAGGTGACCCTGCACCGGAGATATAAGACAGTCGGTGCTGTTCATTCGGGGTAGTCGCAAGGTTCTCTTTGGACCGCGACGCGCTGTTATCGTGCAGCATCTGTGTCATGGTTCCACTGGTGCCCGGACGCTTGCCGTCAAAGTCCAGCGCGTACGTCGGGCCAAAGTCAATACTGGGAACAGCTGCAGGCGCCTGTGCTGGGTCCAGAACAGACTTGTAGCCATGTGGATCTTCATCTGAGGGAAGCTTTACGTTTGGATCTCCAATCATGGTCAGAACACCGCTTCTTGGTCGATCGGTGCGTCGTTCAGGCAATCTTCGTGGAGGAGGCGCAGGTTCCTCTTCGGCGATGCTGGCATAGTCTGGCGTGGAAGTCGATATGGCATCATCGTCGTAGAAACTACTTGATCCGCTTGGCTGACGATTCAGAGTGGGCTGTGTGATGTTGAAAGCGTCGAGAGCTTCAGGGTCGATTACGTCCTCTCGTAAACTGTCGAGTCTTGAGCTACTGGTCGAAAGGGTGTCATCCTCTTGCGAGGCTAGGGGAGACCGACCTGGTACTGGTTTACGGGGTATGCCGCCGCTTTCGGGGTGCGGACGATAAGGGAGCTCGTGACTGGGGGGCTGTGGCGGCAACTCACTATGTTCTGGGACCGATGGAGCTGTCGGCTGGTAGCCTGTGGGAGAGTCGACGAACTCGGAATGCTCGACGTATGGTGATGCGGGAATGGTAGACAGGCGGTTCCCAGAGTTTTGGTTCGTTGGAGGCGGCCTTGAGTTGACGCCAAGATACATCGATTGCCCCTGATCACCGTACGCGTTGTAGTCACCACTGCGTCTGCTCTGTATGGTGTCCTGATTTCTCCAAGCACCGACTGCGCCAGCGGCAGCTACACCCCCTGGGAACGATCCATGTGAAGCGTCAGCCATTTGCTGGAGCGTGGCAGAGTCGACTGCAGGGTTTGGCTTTGCCATGGGCATGTTGGGACGAATGGGTGGCTTCTGATTGGCAGCGTGCTCCTGGGTCGGAGGGAGGTCGACATAACCTTGCGGTGGAGCAGACAGATCTGCAGGCGGCGGTGGAAGGTTCTGTGGCTCCTTGATGGGGCTCTCGTCGTAATCTGACGCAGACGAATCATAAGGCTGGACCGCCCCGTTCGACGAACCGTTGAGTATACGATGCTGGGGAGGCGTCGGCGGTCGCTCGTCTTCGTATGGCGTCTCCTCTCGCGTGAATCTAGATGGATTGTTCTCGTTGCGTCCGTTGACTTGCTCTGACACAGATCGCTGATGGCGTGGGGTACCGAATGGGTTTGCTGCGGGAGCTGTTCCGACGCGACGCGGCGCTTGCACTTCAAAGTCTGGGAACTTGCGTGTAGGAGATGACGCGCGTGTGGACGGGCTGGAACGAATGGAGCCTTGGTCTTCAAATCGCAGGTTACGAGGTGTGAAGCCTGCCCGGCTGACGGTGTTCCTGCGGCTGGCGCGACTGTAGATGGATTCTGCGTCTTGGTTCGCAGTCACCATTCTTGTGGATGTGAGGTCCTTCAATTGCTTCCTCCAGTGGCGCTCTGACCACTTGTCGCTGCCCTCGGTGTTGATCAAGCCCACCACGTCCCACATCTCCAAGTATCCGTAGCGCCTGTCGGAGGGCATAGCGAACATCAAACCGCGGGTGTCTAGAACGTCTGCAATCAACTTCTTTGGGCGTCCGTATAGTGAGAATGTATCGAACACGGGGAAAAGGTACTGGAGCATAATCTCAAATCCTGAGATAGCGGGACGCGACTCCGGCATAACAAAGACGAATCCTTCTGTTGTGCTCTCTGGCGTCGAGTGGATTGTAATCTTGCCCTCGATCTTCACCAATGTAGA